CAGTGGTCACACTGGATATGCAGAAGATACATACGTATTCTGTCTTAGTCTTTCATGTAAGATATCTTTTCTTGCAAATAAAGTGTGAATTGAAGACATTACAAAATGTTATTAAACTGAAATATGATCATATTTCTATAGCACTTTATGATATACAAAGTAGTTCTAAATGCTTATCGTCTTTGATCCCCTAAACAACACAGTAAAGTAAACAAGAATACTAAAACTTTTCAAATATCTATTTGTACGAAGGGCATTCAGCATTCAGCCCTTCATACAAAATATAAGTAGTTAGTCAATATACACACAGGCAGCCCTGGGTTATGAACAAGATAAGTTCTGCAAGTTTGTTAAATTGAGCCTGTACGTAAGTCAGAACAGGTACATTAACCTGTTGCCTGGAATAGCCTCCACTTATAAGTGTGAGTTGTACATCAGACGGATGTTTGTAGCTCGGGGACTGCCTGTACTAAAATTGTTTTATAAACAAAGGATGTAATTTTGTAATTTTTCCTGTAAGAGCAGAGTTGGGCACTTAATAATTAACCATTCTGTACAAATATGTAAGCAAATTCTACTTTTGCTTTATTAATATTCTACTGTTTTTGTGTTAAGCTGAATATAATACTTAATACTTAGAAATTCAGGAAAAAAACTCTAGAACGTATTTTTTTTCAATACAGTTGCTTCAAAAAGGAAAGCACATTTTCATGATTTTTCTCTGTCCCTCTACCTCTCTCTCTTATAATTCTTATTCTGCTGGTGGAGTCACCTTTGCCAACCAGATGACAACACTCTGACAAAAGAACTTCCACCGACTGTGGATCAGTGCACGGTGAGTCAACTGCTGAGTACAGACAGTATAAAGACTCGCCCATAGTATGGACCGAACTTCCTGTTTACCTTGTTGGGATCCTTCCCAGGAGCCATTTTGCCTTCATTCCCCCTAACATATCCACGTTCAGTTCCAGCATCTTCAGCCTTCAGGAAAAGGGGGTCTACCCTTCTTAGCCCCTGGAAGGGTCCTGATGGTGAAGGGAATGACTGTTTCAGGATGGGCACAGATACTACTCTAGTATAGTCAACTGAAAGGCATAAGTTTTAATCGTTCTTTGGATTAAAGCATGCTGGGTCTCTCTCACATGTATGTCATGCCACTAGACATAAATAAGAAAGAATCCAATTCCCTGGAAGATGTTTCATGATGACAGAATAAGATTTCAGATGAAGTCCACACTAAGGAAGGCAAAGCAATGTTACGGACCAAACTTTCCAAGACGTTACAGGTGTAATAGTCCCTCTCTCTCTCTCTCTCCCCCCCTGCTGCCCACTCACGTCCTCTGGCCTGCCTTCCTTTCCTCACTTTTTGCCTTCTCTGCGTCTTAAAAACTGTCTGGTGCAAAGGCTTTCATTGAGCCTCCTGATCAAAATTAATTATTGCCCTCTGTGACATCAGAGTTCTTTTATGTATATCATGATTATAACCTAAAATTCTCTCTCTCAGAAGCAGGTGTGGTAGCTTACTTGCATTCTGACCAATGTTTAACACAGAGCAAGCATTCCACATAAGATCTTAAAATGAATCACAGATAGGAATATCCGTTGCAAACTGTTTTTTAGTATTCAAATATTAAATCAATGACACAAAATAATTATCAAGTTTGCTCATAACTTCATTCAATTTTTAATCGTCTCACCCTAATACAAATCTCAAACTTCGCCTTCAACCACTTTTTGAAAATCTGCCGTAGAAAGAAACGACACAGCTGAATTTTCTCTTTTCCTTATAAATCACCTCTAAATAAGCCAAAGGTCATGAAAGTGAAACGTTAACTTCCTTACTACTATTACTACTACTGTATTTTAATTCAGAAATTCCTTTTGAATCTTTTGTGGTACTTTTTCTCGAATCTCCTTGTAGTAGATACTTTTAGGGCTGGGTGACCTTTCTATCAAGCTTGCCCTTGGTTTTGTTGTTGTTGTTGCTGTTTGTTTGTTTGTTTCCAGGAAATTTTTTCTATCCCAAGCCTTCAAGTCACATTGACATTGTAAGACCCAGCTCCCTTCATTACAACTGAGCAAAGCTAGATTCCCTTCCCTATGAAGCTAAAAGATTCCAAATGCACTCTGAGTTTGTCTCCTGAGTAGGTTTATTTTTATAATATTCTTCATTGATCATAATGTCTTGAAAATTTTCACTGTGTGTCCGTGATGCTACATAGACGTAAAGCTAGTAAACTTGGGATTCCTGATAGCTTCTACGGCTCTCAGGTCCCTGTCACAGTAAAATACAAGTCTCAAAGAAACAAAATAATTTGGTCACCAAATTAAAAAAAAAAATCAAAGAGCCTATTACTAACCTTCTATTAATTTTAGCATTAGCAAATTTCTATTATCCTTGACACAAACCTATGCACATTTCCCAGCTTAGACAATAAATTTAATTTAAGCGTCTGCCTTTTCTAAATTCATTTGTAACCAGCAGCTAATTGCTTAGTTTTGACCTAACCAGCAGGGGTCAGAGTCAGAACAAAAACAACCTAAGGAAGGATTCTATGGAAAGAAACCAACAATGTAAGCAAGCAAAAATCAACTGCTTACCAGTCTGCAGAAATAATATGTAGACAGCAAATGTCCCAAAGAAGATATCAAAAAGTGTACAGCTCCCTAAAAAATTATACCTATTACGTTTGAAAAAAAGGTCCAAGGAAGATCTAAAGAGAAAATATTTATATTCTAGTAAAACTAACACAATAAAAAAGAAAATAAAATTATGGAATTATAACCTTGGGGCTGGCTGCAGTGGGTTATGGAAGACATATAAAATATTTAGACATTATAAGCGGCTTCCCAAGTTTCAATCAACAATAAATTCAGGTTTTATCTTGCCTCCCTGAGTATATTTTTTAAATAGTGAAATTAAATTATGAAAATGACTCACTTGTTACATCAGTTTTTATTTCTGCAAGTTTCAACAGTGGTTCAACTTTCTCATAATAGACCTGTATCGCTTCTTTTTTGTGACTTTGAGGATTAAGGAGTATTTTTAATGACTTTGGTCTGTTCGGAAAACCTAAGAAGAAACACAAAGACAAGTTATAAAGTCTCTGTTAGCATTTTTTCTTTCGCTTAAAATGGCATGCAAGTTTGTTAGAATGTTATACACATTTGAACAGTACCTGTGATTTTTATTTGAGGTTTTTGGAAGAGTATCCTGAATATGAGATCATTTTAAAACATTTATGTTTTCCTAGCAGTTTAATAGCTATAGCCCTCTTAAAATAACTCATGAATTATACAAAAAATTTAATTCATGAAGGAAGACATGACAAAATGCAACTTTGTAAATATTAGGCAATGTTTATGCATATTTACCACATCACAGATAACACATCAAATGTTCCGTTAGCATTTCTTTTTTTTTCAGCAAAAAAGCAATGGACTGTAACAAATAGAAGGGTACATTTCCTCTCCTTAGCTAAATGTGCTCATTATTGGAATTGGGCACCACAGTGACCCCAAGGCTACCAACGCCTGACCTACTGATGAGTCCAGGGCAGAACAGAGTGAGCAGGGATAGGTCAGTGTCAGCACCCAAAGCCATGCATGCTGGTAGATAAAAAGAGGGCTTGGGTCAGAGTTCAAGCCTGAAAGGGGGCCAGGGAGAAAGGACTCCAGTGGGAACTGGGAAAGCAACGCCTCTCTGCGGGGATTCGATGATAGTACTGCCTCCCAGTTGGGGCTGAGATTTGATACTACAATTTTCTGGGTTTGCAAGATGCTTATCACTTAGAACCCGGTTGGAGCAGGTGCAAAGCAAATTTTCTGTTGTTTGAAAGGGACAGGGGGGACAGAGGAGCCAAAAGAAAGCTGACAACCATGTCTTTTATGGTAAGCTGCTCTCAGAGGGCCATGCTTCAAGGCCTAAAAAGCAGTTACTAACATCCATTTTTAATAAAACCATTACTAAAAACAAGTGAAAATTGTCCTCTACATAAGAATGTTTCATCTGTCAAGGAAAGATAATATTTCAAGTCTCATCATGTTTGATACAACAGATTATTTTGAATTCACACATTTCCAGTTACCATGATTAATGTCTTCCTTTTTCCCAATTCCCACATCGAAAAGAGTGCCCAGATCACGAGACAGTAGCTACTCCCTTCCATGCCTTCTACCTCTCTCACTGTCATGCTCTGACTCAAGGGCCACCTCCTGGGCACCCTTGCTGTCCCCTTCCACAGCATCCTCTGGCATCATAGCTCTGGTAGCGCTGCTCAAAAGCAGTCATGGCTAATTGCTGTCTGCAGAGCAAGCCCAAACCCCCAAAGATGACACTCAGAGCCCCCCCCAACCTGATTTCCTTTCCCCTCCGTCATAAGTATTCAAGCAACATTTGTTGAGCATTTGTGCTAGACACTGGGAGGAAGGGCAAAGTGATCAAGATGTAGTTCATACTTTAAAGGAGGAAAACATACCCACAAATTTGCATACCAACAGCACAAGACTAGAGACTTGTTAATGGAGATGTGCAAAGTACAGAAGGGGTGTCTGAGAAGGGTGACTCATTCTTATTAGGGATCTGGAAAGGCTGCAAGAAGACAGCACTGGAGTGCGGCTTTCACTTATGCTGTTTCACCATCTGAAATTGTGTCCTCTGTTACCTAGCATCACACTCCCTAGCAAAACAGCAAGGGCGGAAATTTTAGACACTGAGACCAGACTGGGAAAGCTCCCAAAGCTGGGAAATTGCAGAGGGCTTTCATGTTTCATTTCAACTTTCTCATCATGGTCCAAACCCATCGTATGATCGCCAAGGACCGTGTCCGACAGGGCTTCCTTTGTGAGGGGCAGTTTTTCCTTTCGTTCCACCTCATCCCCATTTTTATCAAAATGTTACCACTTTTTCAAAGCTTACTTCAAATACTGCTTCTTCATGGAAGCCCTCCCCAGTCACCAATAAAATTCACCCTCCGGCTTCTCTGATGCTCCCACTTTACTCCCTGTACCTTTATTACCTATTTTTATATCCATTTATACAAAAGCCTCTGATGAAATTCCCTGTGTCTTGGGATTTCCACTGACCAACCCTAGGAAAATATAAAATGGAATCAAACAGTAATATAGCACCCAACATTGCATTTTCTATACATCCAACTCCGTGAACAATACTGACACTAAGCAAAGGATAAGTAAAAACATTCTGTCCTGTGGTGGAATAAGGAAGAATTAGAAATATTCCTAACATAGAATAAGAAATCCCTATTTTCAGTTATTATAACAATTTCTGACTCAGGCAAGAATCATCAATGTATGCCAAAACCACCTGTGATGGTCAGTTGTAAACAAAATATATATTCTTAAACCGTGTCCCTTATCATTAACTACAAAGGGTAATATCCTTAATGGGAACTAAAACAATGAAAACAAACTGCAATATGTGATTCTAGATTGGATTTAAAAAAAAAAAAAAAAAACCACCACAAAGGACAGTACTGCTGCCCTTTAACCAAGAAGAGGTAAGCAGTACTTCTTACCGAGGGCTTACTTCTACTAAAACCTGACAGGCACAAGACACTTGTTTAACCCCAAAGGCCAGAAGTCAGATTAAATATGCAGATTAAGTTTACTTTACCCAATAAATTTATCAGAATACCCTGTTTCATTTCTCAAACAGAGGCAGTCCCAGTAAAGATACTATCATAAAAACCAAGTTCTATTTCTCCTCCTTCTTATATTCATTTATTTATGCACAAATAACTGCCTACTTGCCACGTGCCAGGCGGGTTCCAGAGCCTGAGGCTCTATCGGTGCAAAAGAACATTCTCTGTCCTTATGAAGCTTCCATTCTAATGGCAGGAGAGAAAAAGCATATCAAGCAGTGACAAAAATGAAAACTAGTAGTGGAAAAGTAGAGGGGCAAAGGTGGGAGTGACCCCCAGGCCAGGGAAGGTCAGATTGTCCACAGACTTGATAACATATACAAGGACTTTGGGTTTTGTTGAGTAGGAAGACAAGCATAGTGGATTCTGAGAACCACAGTCACATAACCTTAGGTGTTAAAAGGAACACTCTGGACACTATGTGGAAAGGATACACAGTAAAGCCAACAGCTGCCAAACTTAAGAACTATTGTCATAGTCCAGATGGAAACGATGGTTCTTAGACTATCACAATTGTAGAGGAGGTTATAAGCAAACTTAGGCTTGGTGCAACGGCTCATGACTATAATCCTACTACTTTGGGAGGCCAAAGTTGGAGAAATGCTTGAGGTCAGGAGTGTACGACTGTCCTGAGTAACATAGCAAGATCCCATCTACAACTAAACAGAAAAATTAGTTAGTTGTGGTGATGTGTGCCCATAATCCTAGCCACTTGGGAGGCTGAGGTAGGAGAATTGCTTGAGCCCAGACATTTGAAGTTTCAGTGAACTCTGATGATGCCACTGCACTGTAGCATGGATGACATAGTGAAATCTTGTGTCATGTATTGAAAAGGAGAGAGAGAAGAAGAAAAGTTAGATTTTATATGTATTTTGAAAGTAGGGGTGGCAGGAAAGTATGCCAAAGAAGTTTTAAAGAATACTCAAATGTGTAGCTGGATAAGGGGAAAGTGAGAACTTACGCTGGGTAAGAAATAGTGAAAAGATAGCATCAATAAATTATGGTCTCAGTGGGGGTGATGGATTTTAGGAGTTGAGGGAACAGAGATCAGGTGAGCTAGGAAGACACGAGGCAACAGAGGGAAGGTAGGATGCATAAAGCTGAGATTGAGAAAGTTATTAGTAACAATAAAACAAAATCTAATGAACTGGTTCATTCATTAGAATCATCCAAAATGCTTCTAAAATCACAGATTCTGGGCCCCAGCCCCAGCGTCTGGGGCTCAGTAGTCTGAAGTTGGGTCTGAGAATTCATATTTATTTATAAATTCTGCTGATGTTGATCTGGAGACCATATTCTGAAAACCACCGCTCTGGAAGTGTGATCCTAGAGGATGTGAGCAAAGTGAAGAACAGGTTAAGATCCCTGGAGGCCAAGAGACCCAAACCTGGGGGAACACCTACAAAAACACATGAAATTATAAGGAGAGGAGGGTCCAGAGACAGTGACATGGGAGCTTGTCTTCAAGGAGTAAAGAAACAGATTGAGCTTCAATGCGGAGGATGTTTAAGATAGGAAGAAGAGAAACTGGTCTCAAAATGGCCAGGAGATGGAAGGGAGATAACACCACCTTCAGGACAGTGGCACATGGGCCGGGAAAAGTCACAGAGGCCAGCAGGGGAAGCTGTGAGCCCTGAGAAGGCTTAGTCTCTACTAACACGCAAAAGTGAGCGGAACACTTGGAAGTGGCAGAAAATACAGGAGGCTCTGCTAATGATAGACCAGTCATTCCAAAAGGCAGAGAAAAGGGCGTCTGGAGTTGAGGCAGGTGAGGAAGGGCCTCAGGCAGTGACAAGGTGTGGAAGAGATAAGGTTGACAGATGCTAGGGTTAGAGAACAGGGCAGAGAGTTGGAGAGTGGGTATCTCTCCCCAATCACAGAGACCGCTGAGGACTTCTCTTCCCTCCAGCCGTGTAAAAGCTAGGGGAGGAGCAATGTTGCCTGGAGCAGAGGAGGCTCCCAAGCCCCCTTCCTCTCCCTCCAAGGCTCCAGACTATCCTCTTCACCAAGCAGCCTCAGAGCCAACATTCTATATTTGAGAACCAGATGCTTGATTGTTTTCTGTACAAAATTCAAAATCTTTTGATTCAGTCCATCCTCTGACATCAAGTATTCATCTCAGCAAACCACCCCTGATACCACTTTGAGAATCCTTCTAGAAATATCCATATTCTGCATGCAGGATGCAAGCATATTCTGTAGCTTTTCATATCAACAGCAGCATTTCTATAGACACTATTTCTGTATCTTGCTTTTGAGCTTTTTTCTTTTATTCTATTTTAAAGATGACTCCATAACACTCTACATAAAAGTACCTAGTATTCTTTGGTTGGGAGAACTACAATTTAATTAACCAGCCCCTGGGGTGGATATTTAGATCGTTTCTGATCAGCCTTACCTTCTAGGTTCT